CTTATTTTCACAAACAGAAAATTTAGATTTGGTTCTTGGTACACAAGACTATATAATAATTTCTGTTTTGTTTTATTTATCAAAAATTGGCTTTATAACAATTGATAGCTTGGAACTAATTGTATCTGGAGCAGTGAAGTCATCAAATCAAACAATCATTGACCTTCTTTTACAAAGAAACCAATTTAGAAATTTCAATCTCTGTCCAAACCTTAAAACAACTGTAAAAGATAGAGATAATTTTTATAACTCAGTTCATTTCTTGATATTCAAATACTACATTAAATTCACATATGAAACAATTTTAAACAATTTGGTTTCTTCAAACTACAAGTACTCTCCAACATACCATCTCAATTTATTCCCATCAAAAGGAATGATGATGAAACTTAACTCTCAAAATAGTAATAGAGTGTTGGATACATATTTAAATAATGTTGAAATTATTAGACAATAATTTGGAATAAATAAATTTTTTTAAACAAATAAATAAAAAAATAAATAAATAAATAAATAAATAAATAAATAAATAAATAAATGGAATTTTAAATATAAATTTTTTTTATTAATTTACTTTACAGTTTTGTATATACATAAAAGTTTGCATTAATTTTTATTTATTTTATTTGTATAAATTGGTAATTACCAACAACAATATATTATTATTAACTTTTACTTATGTATTAATAAATATTAGAAAATAAAAAACATTAGTCTATTTTGATTCTTTTTTTTTGTGATTTTATTGTTTTTTGAACAAAATCCTGGAATAATCTATCAAGACTTTAACATCTATAGCAACAACAGTTTATTTCGTCTCAAGGGTGTATTTTATAATAGTATTGGCTAGGAAAAATGCTTTGTCTTGTCTTTGATATAGATCAATTTATTATTACCAAACACTGTTTTTTTTTTAAGTCAAAACACTGTTTTAAAAAGCTCCAATATAATTTGTTATTATCAAACACTGTTTTTTTTTTGTTTTTTTTTAAAGTGAAGATGATTTTTAATAATGAGCGGCAACTTGGAGTCAATTCTTTCTACCACTATGCTTTCAATGCTCCCCTGGTAAGGTCAATTCGTGATGATATATCGAATTTTAAAAAAAAATTTCATAAATTTTATTTTATTTATTTTTTTTTTTAAAAGTGAAGATAATTAAAAGCAAATGCTTTAAATTAATCAGTAAAATCCCCGTGGGGAGAAGTTAAAGTGAAAAATAAAATTCTCCGGGAAGATAAAATTTTATTTAAAATCCTGGTTCTACTGAGACTCGAACTCAGATTACGGGATTCAAAGTCCCGGGTGCTAACCAATTACACTATAAAACCATTGATGTGAATTTTGTTATATAACTGTTGTTATATTTAAGATCTCTAATATAATGAATTAATTACAAAACAAAATGTATTATTAACTAAATGTAATTAATTATAATAATAATAAAACACAAAATAAAGATAAAATAAAATATAATAAAACCAAAATAAATATATAAAAATTATTTTGAATTTTAATTTATACTGAAAAATATTATTTTTAAAAAAATAAAATTAATTTAAAAAAATATTTAATTTTAAAAATGTGTTTACAATTGATGATAAATATAAAATAATAGATGTGTGATTATTTAAATTAAAAATATGTCTAAATTTTATGATAATTATAAAATAATATATGTTTGTCTTTTTCTAATAAATGTGATATATTTTTATGATTATTATAATAAATTTGAATTGATTTTAGAATTGTTGTTATATCACAATTTTATTGTATATGACCCCATAAGGTTTGAAAATCAAAAGTAGAAGTTCAAATTAATAGTTTAAATTAAGATGTACTTCCCTTTTGCTAAGTTGATGTAGACATGGCCAACATTGGAGCAAAATACTACAAAGAACTCTACCAATGCCAATGCTAATGCTAATCCTAATCCTAATGATTTTATTATTGAAGAGGTGTGACACAGGTATAATTATAGCATCATTATATTATACTTATTTTATCAATATGTTTTTATGAAGTTTTTTGAAAGGAAAATAAAATAAATATAATAATTAATAAAATTTAAAAATAAAAAAAAATTTAAAATTAAAAAAAAATCAAAAAAAAAGTTCAAAAAAAATCATCTCAAAAAATAGTTTAAACCTTTTGACCGATAAAGAAACTGAAAATAAAATGTTTTTAAAAAAATAGAATAAAAATTGTTAAAAAATAAAAAAAAAGGGCGGAAAAGAAACAATTATTATGTGCATATTTGAACTTAGAGGTTGAAAATTATCTTTATCGTTATCCTTTTTTGTATCACTTGGAAGATTTAAAAAAAAAGAATAAAAGTCGATAAAAAAAAAAAAAAAAAAGATAAAAAAAGGATAATAATTTATAAAATTATAAAATATTTTTGTAAAAAAAAAAAAAAAAATTGAAAATAAAATTTTTTGGGTCTATTTATAGAGCTAATTTAGAAAATGTGTAGAATTATGAATATTATAATTTAAAAAAAAAACAATAATTCGACCTTTTGTTTTGGTTTTGTATTGGTTGAGTTTTTTATTAATAAAAAAGAAAATAATTTTTAAATAAATACTAAAAACGAATATAATATGATTTATAGTTTTTTTTTTTTTGAAGTATATTGTCATTTTATTTTTAAAGAGGTGTGAATAAGCCTCAACACAAGTAAAAAATAGCACCATAATATTAGTGTTAGTTTTAAAATGGTTTTGTGAAGGTTTTTGAAAGGAAAATAAAAATATTATAATAAATAAAATTCAAAATTTAAAAAAAAATTTTAAAAAGCGCGGATTATAATTAAAAAAAAAATAAAAAAAAAAAATAAATAAAATGTTTAAAAAAATTAAAAGAAATTTTAAAAAAAATTAAAAGAAAGGAGGAAAAAAGAAAAATTGTGATGGGTGTGTTTGTGCTGTTATTTTACATCTATTTGCAAATTATAAAAATAGATAAAAATGAATAATTTTTTTTAAAAAAAGAGATAATTTTTTTTAAAAAAAAAGATAAATTTTAAAAAAAATTTTTAAATGAATAAGATAACGATAATGGGTAAAAACTGAGAATAAAGATAATTTTTAATCTCTATTTGAACTGTTATTTTAGATCTATTGGCAAATTTTAAAAGTCGATAAAAATGAATAATTTTTTTAAAAAAAAGTTAAAAAAGAGATTATTTTTTTTTTAAAAAAAATGGATAATGAACACGATAACGATAATCGGTAAAAATGGAGATAACCATAATTTTTAAACTCTAAGGGGTAGCTAAATGATTAGGAATTGAACCAGGTATAAATCGATATTTGATATTATCTTAATACAATCTTTGTACGGTGGGTGGTATAAAATCAAGTGGTTGATTAAAGCCATCAAGTAAAGATAAATGTGTAACTGTTGCTGGAATTGAATCAGGTTTTAATTGATACTTGATGTTATATAAATACAGGTTTTGTACGGTGGGTGGTATAAAATTAAGTGGTTGATTAAAACCATCAAGTAATATTAAATGTGTAACTGTTGCTGGAATTGAATCAGGTGTTAATTGATACTTGATGTTTTCTAAATACAAGCATTCTACGGTGGGTGGTATAAAATTAAGTGGTTGATTAAAGCCACCAAGTAAATATAAATCTGTAACTGTTGCTGGAATTGAATCAGGTGTTAATTGATACTTGATGTTATCTAAATACAGCCATTCTATGGTGGGTGGTATAAAATCAAGTGGATGATTAAAGCCATCTTGTAAACATAAACGTATAACTGTTTCTGGAATAGTTTTGGGTAAACATTCGATAGGTCCAATAGCAAGATTTCTAATTTCTAAATGACTAATATCACACCCTTTCTTGGTAAATTGTAAATTCTTTTTTATAAACTTTATTAAAAGGAATTAATTTGAGTATTATTGGTATAAAAAAAAATTTTAAAACTTACATTTTAGTGTTTTTAAATCTAAAGGAATATCAATTACCTCTAAATAACTGTTTGTTAGATCTTTGATTGAGTCAAGATTATTTTCTTGAATTATTAATTTAGTATCTTTATATTCTGGAAAGTTATTATTATTTATATTTGATAAAAAATTGTTACATTGATGATTGTGTTTTAAAAGTTTAATAAATTCATTATCAATATTATTATTAACATCATTATTATTATTTATATCATTATTAAATTTAATAGCATTATTAATTATATTATTATTTTTTTCTATTGTTGTTGTTATTATATTATTTACATCTATATTTTCGTCTAATTTAGTCAATAATAATCTTTTGAGATCATTTTCTTTTGCATTGATAATATTTTTTAATTGATTAATGAAAAAAGCTTTTTTAATTGAGTAATCAAAAAAGCTCTATCAAAATTCTTTGTGTGATTTTCTTGAATTTGTTTAAAGTTATTGTTTGATTCATTCAATATTTTCTTATTATTTTCTAAATAGTTGTTTAGTTTTGGTATTGTTTGATCATTATATTCTTGTTGTATTTGATTTCTTAAATTTATATCATTTAATTTTTTTAATCTATGCCCACTGTGATCCTCGTTAATACAATCAATACAGACAGGAATATTGTTTGGACAATTTGAGCATATTGAAACAATATCTTGATATGGATGATTTAAGCACTTAATATCATATTGTTGATTATTGGACATTATTTATTTTCAGGATTTAATTTTAGTTTTTTAGAATAATTATAAATTTAATAAATTATATTTTATTATATATATTTTTATATATTTATAAATTATAATTTGAATTACGATGTGGATAAAAAAATTTAAAATCTTTAAAAAAAAACCAAAAAAATTTAAAATAATTTGAAATAATTTTTTTAAAAATAGTGTTTAGGGGTCAAAACTTTTGCAAACAAATGTATAATGCACTTTGGGTTATTCCTCATTGATATAGTTTTTTTTTTGAAAATAATATCTGGAGAAAAAACGGAGATACTAAGATACAAAAACAACAATTAAAAAAATTTAATATTTAAAAAATGATACATTAATTATATGATTTTACTTTTTATTTATTGTTTAAGTGATTGTTAAATAATAAAATTAAATCTTTCACTTCGCAAGAAATTTCTTTAAGTTGAATATCTATTTCACATAATTTAGATAAAGATTCTGAATTAATTATATTGTTATTTTGTATAGCTGATATTTTTATTTTATTTAAAGTTTCTTTTATATTTTCAAAGACACACATTTCATTTATATTATAATCGCTGGAAGAAGATTCATCGTCGTAATTTGAATATGAATCATCACTAGTATAACTGGAACATGAATCGCTATAAGATGTGGAGGATGAACATTCATTTGAAGAGTCATCTGTTTCATCGGCTATATGGAAATATGTTTCTTTTGAGTTATGATCACTATTATTATTAATAATATTACTACTGCTACTAATATCATTTTTATTTATATCTTTTATTATTTCCTCTTTATTTGCCAAATTATCTTTATTTATACAATTATTATTTTCGTAACTTATTTTATTTTCATTAATTGTCATTTTTTTAAATAATAACACATTGAAATATTATAAAAAAATAAAAATTTTTATAATATTTATTTATAATTTAAATAAAAAATAAAAAAATAAAAAAATTTAAAAAAACATTTAATTATTATTATAAATTAAATTATTATATAAATTAGTAGTAAAGAAATGGGGTGGGTAAAATTAAAAAAATATCTTTTAATAAAACAATATTTTATTTGTCATTGGTTGGGG